TTGACATCCTTATAATCGTAATTAAGATTCTGTTGAATTTATAAATCAACAATATAATTATTAAGTTTTATTTGCTTAAATAAAATTACTTAAGAAATTATTTGTCGTAACAAAAAAATTTTTTTTTCAATTAACAAAATATAGAAAAAATATTATCAACTTTAAAGATAATACACTTAAAAACTTCATTTTATGACATTAGTTTGATGTCGATTGGTTTTTTCGGTAAGACGTATCTAAAAAAAAATCTTGTTATTTATGAGCAAATGATACACCATTAATTGGTGGCAACATTATTGATACAAAAATTTGGTCAGTATAAATTTCTACAAAAAAAAAAAAAAAAAAAACAGAATTAATAAATTTTAATCTTAAATTTTGAATGAACAAAAAATGTCAAAAATTTTGATCGCTTTTACCAAAATCAAGTCAAATTTTGTTTGAAACCAATAAAAAAAATACTCCATAATTGTTTTAGAGCGAAGTAAAATTGGGTCGTGATCGAAACATTGAATAAACAGCACTCTCTTACAGACCACCGATTTCTAAGATGGAAATCATCCTCGAGGGGGACAAAATGATAATCTTCCCCTCGCGGGCAATCAACCGAGTCAAAAATCCAAACAAGCGCATCTGCATCAATTCCTTAATACAACCTACAAGGATGAAAAAACCAGGAGCAGGGGCTCGAGTGAGTGAATTCAGCGCAGCTGTTGCCGAAAAATAACAAGATTTAAAATGCGGAATCAAGACCATAAAATTCATCTCGATCATATTTAGTAATATCGCGAATACAAGTAAGGAGAAGAGGGAAAGTCTAGCTCCGTTGACGTTCTCGCTAACGTGGGAGGTCGCGGTAATAACACATTGTTATTTAAAGTGCTAGTAGCTTGGAAGGATGGATAGGAGGTTAAGCGGGGTTTTTCGAGCCCAAGTTCCCGTGCAAGCCTTGGGCCTGGGCAATAAAATTATCATTTATTCGAGGACAGGGACTGACAAAACAGAGGGGGCAAATGAAGGGGAGTAGAGTGCGAATAGAGGAAGAAAAGTGAAAAGGAGTGTTGAGAAGCTACGGTAGTGTTGGAGAGACGTCGCTAGCTGAGACCGGGCAACTGCTTGAAGTTTGATGCAAATATCCCGGGTGATGCATTATTCAGGAAGAAACTATTAAACTAATACTAATACTAATACTTATATAAATATAGGAGGAGGTGGAGGTGTACGAATGGTATGGCTGATAGATGTGTGTGCCTCGCATTCTACATTCACACACTTGGATATGGATGGCTCTGTGCTCTGTACTATTATATATATCGCGGAGCAGTACATGAGCCCGAGTGCAACTAGGCGTATTAAACTACCGCAACGACTGTCGCATGTTTGTGTGCTCTGCAGTGTTTTAATGTATTCGTTCCGGGCGGTTTCCTCGACGAAAGTTTCGTGTCAAAATGGCTCCTTCGTCGGCGTAATTCGAACCAACCCGTGACTGTCTTGCATAATGAATATCCAGAGACCGTAGACCGTCCACAGGCACGGGTGACTTTATGCATTATCCATCTAGACGTCGTCAAGACAGTTTCACTGTTTAAAACTTTTTTCGCTCCCAGTCATTTCATTCTATCTGTACTTCTCCACCAGTATTTTGCTTCCAACGCATTGGTATCTGCTGCCAAAATAACTGGGCTTATAGATCATCTTGAAAGAGAAAGACAGGTTTTTTTGGCAGTAGTATGCTGCAAGATTTGGACTTTGGAATTTCGAATTAAGACACAAAATTTATGCTTTGTTTGTATAAGATGTTTTTGAAGTTTAAGAGTGATGGGATTGAACTAGTTTTATTTGACTTTAAATGTTTGAGAGCTACTTATCACTTCTTCACTTTATATGTGATAGTGAAGAAATTTAGTTTTGAATCATGAGATGTAATAATATTTCTTACTGAAATTGAAAAAATTTTTATTTTATAGTGATAAAAAGTTTGATATTATTTTAACCTTTTCAGACTTATAGTTTTTTTTACAGGATTTCTAAATGGTGATGAGTTAGTCGAGATTGCAATGGTGCGTAGAAAAATCTTCAGTGATTCAACAATCAAGGTAAATATTTATTTATTTATTTTAGTAATTGTTACATTTCATTATTTTTCAAGAAAAAATTAATACATTGTGCAAAAAAAATTTTTTCTTGAACCAAGAAAATTAATGAGAACGATCAAAATAATTTTTATATAAATAAAATTATTATTGATACAAGATTTTCTTTGATTACGATGATAATAGTTCTTATCAGATATTTTTTTGAGTCAATGAATTTTTTTTGTTTTCTCAAAAATTAATTTTTTCTTATGTTACATTTGCTTAAAAATTGAACATCCCGAAAATTATCATTTATCTATCTGTCACAAAATGATGGATAAAATTCTTTTCAACGATCAAAATTACAAAAATAATAATTCCTAATCAAAACTTGTAAAAAAATCTATTTTCAACTCTCATAATTATAAAATTTCAATATTCATGCTTATAAACTAATTGATAATAATTATCATAAAAATCAGACAATTTAAAATAATCACTTTTTTAATAATCGAAACAAAACATAAAAAAGATAATCTTTCTTCTCATTATTGACTTTCCAAAAAAGTCTATTCTATCACAAACAATTCAACCATTTTCCGTATATACTACCAAAAGCAAAAAGATACTATCAGACTCATAACTTATATCCCGAGCTCCATTCACGCGAACAAGACTAACAACTGAACTCCTCCGTCCCCCGACGATTAAATAGCATAACAATGAGTATAGCATGAAGAGGGTCTGTGTTCAATAACCCAACTAAACACATTCTGAGAGTTTTATTCCCGCGATCTTTGTCTGTCTCGTCTGGTGTTTCTGCAGAAGCCAACCGGAATAAGGGCTACGGGAGCTTCGGCTAATGAACAGTTTGAAATTGGTCGCTTTAACAAACTACCCCCAAGAGCTGCCCGCCCACTACACCACCAAGGATTCACGGGCTTTGAATATGCAAATCGCGGTCTGTCTTAGACGCGGGAACTACCGAAGGCAGTTAGTCTATTTTGTGGCCTGGGACCGTTGCACCCCGGAGATACGAAGATACCAAGGGTGGTGAATAGTTTGTCCTGAGTACGGTCAACTGTTTGTGCATGCCACTCTTGGTGCATGCATCCAGCTCGGATTTACGCCACGGCCATGCCCATTAGCGATCGCTGGAACTACACTGATGCACCGGATTCTCGGGTTTTTCCCAAGGGGGCAAACAAAAACTCATATAACTTGTCCAATAACAACAATGACAATAATGACAATAGCAACATCAATAACAGCAAGTACGCTATCAATATCACACACTATAATAATTTCCATTGTGTTATTTATTTTGCCTCAAGGCGGCAGGTTATGCCTTTTTATTTTTAACGATTCGATTTCCCTGCATGTTCTTCACTCTAGATCAAGGCATTGTCTGTATGTCATTAAGGCCAAACGACTCTGCTCAGAATAGAATTTTAGCTGGCCTTAACGAACATCGAGAGGAAGGTAGACGATGGATGCTGGATGTTCGCAAGGGGAGGAACGAGAATGATAACGACGGTGAGATTAAAATTCACGTGAAGGGTTGCCCTCGTATCGGTCTCGGCAGTAAGTTTTCGGGTTGGCAACCCTTCACACCGCTACTCCACGCTCGAGCTCTTCATACAGAGATGAGGAGCCTCCTAATGGCGCTATAACGAATAGAGACGCACCTCGATATAATATGGCATTGTAGAGCGAGTACATACAGGGGAACTGTAAAATGGATCGTGCTTGGCTTCCGATTCGTTACCCAAAGGAAGGGAGAGATTCTCACTCACGGAAGTCCCACTAAATCTTATTCTATCGCTCTGATGAAAAGGGTTCGGCTCACTACCGATAAACTCAGGAAACTTTGCTAGTAAATCATCAGGCAGGAAGTTATATAGTTTTTTGAAATAAAGTTGTAATTAAGATTTTGGTTTTGCGTGAGTTACGGGGTTAGTTTATCAATTGATTTTATGAGACTGATTGTTGATAACATTTGTAAAGATACATTTTTTACTATATTGATAAAAAAATTATCTTGATTAACGAGAAAAATTCAGAATTAAAAACATTATTTTGAAGAATTTGATCTTGAATCTAGCAGAAAAATTCTTGGATCAAGTAGAATTTATTTTTAAATCCAGAACTAATTATTAGTTCAAGAATTTTTTTACTTGATCAGATTTGAGGAACACTCGATTTTACGATAATTAATCGAATATTTGGAAAGAATAAAAAAATATCAAACAATGTCTTATCTAGAGTTTAAATTAATTAAATGTAATTGCATTAAAAAAAAAAATTAATTTTTTGCCCTCTAGGCGGAAAGTGGCAACTTTGGTCCCACTGCGCTAAACAAAGTTGCCGCTTTCCGCCTTCCTCGGACAAAAAAATATTATACAGCTCTTGGGAAGTAAAAAAGAAAACCTCAGATCACATGTAATTGTTGACCTCTGTTTCGCCTCGGCCAACAATTACATGTGATCTGAGGCTTTTCTTATTTTCCTTCCCAAGGGGTGTAATATACTATTGATTAAAGAAAAAAATTTACTTTAAAAAAAAAAAATCTTAGTTCCAGAACTTTTCTGCTTGATTTACGATAGTAAATTCCTTCAAAAATGATTCTCTTAAATTAAAAATTTTTTTTGAATCATGTCAATTTTTTTTCAGTGTTTTGCTCATCACAATTCTATGCTATCACTGTAAATTCAGTCAAAAAACTAAGTGCGTTATTTTAACACACATCAATTTTTTACCATGCTTTGAAGCCATTAGCAAACTATAAATTTTAACACACCATAAAACGTATAAAAAGTGAATACAAAGAAGACTATTTCGTTCACGACGTTAAATATTGAATACACTTAATTCATATGTGTTAAAACAACCCATTTATGTTTTACAGTATTTGTACAAGTTCTGCTAATTATTTAGCTGTACTACTAGTTCATTTTCATTTCCTCGCTTTTTTGACCCTTTCTTACACTTGTCAAATCCGCAATTATTGCTTTTACTCCAACAAGTTTTAAAAAAGCGAGCCAATAATTCTTTCTGTTGTTTCGGCAAAATAACAATCAGCATCAAAATCGGTTGTATTATCCTGACAAACTTCAAGATCCAAAGATTCGGATAGATTGCCGACAGCACTCCAGATAGCCAAGGAGTGTCCATTAGAATATAAAGCTTCAAATATACCATATACTTTTCTTTAACATTTTTGGTCCTGTTGTGATCAGCGAGCGCCTTGTTGCCGCGGATCTTAATCATTTTGTACGTCGTATACACAAAGAGCAGTGAATTAACCAACAACATCACCACCGGAAGCGTCAAACTGTATACACGCAGATACTTGTGCTGTCCATGAAAGCTTGAGTAATTCGGCCTGTAGACCGAGTTTTTTGGAAGCCAAGTGTTGAACTCCATGACAGCAGCAATTGTCATCGGAACCAGCGCTACTCCCCACACTGCCGCCGAATAAATGATAAACTTTTTACGCTCGTCGGTTTTTTTGTTCTTCCTGCTGTCAGGCACCCACCGAAACCGCGTAATCGCCAGAGTCATGTCATAACAGATTACGAACAGCCACATCACTGATGTCTGAATCAAGTAGAGAACGCTCAGACCCAGTATTCCATAGACGTAGTCATCCAGTCCATGATGACAGAGTTCAAGGAACCCGATTGTCGTCAGAAGAATGTTCAGTGTTACGTAAGAAATGTTGAAGCTAATCACTGATCTGTCGTAAGCGCGATCCAAGGAGTCGCTACAAAAGCAGTAAACAATTATGACTATTAAGTATGGTATTGAATAGATGATTGTTGCTAAGATGACGATAGAGGCTCCCCAGAAATCTAGGATTTGTAAAACGCTATCACATTTTTTAGAAGAAGTTTCTGTTTCATTGTCAGTGGAACTATTGATGTAGTAGTGATTTTTCGGACAAATTAATGTTACTGCAGTTCCGTTGCTGAGATAATCGATGCAAGTTGGAGAAGTGTTGTTTCTGAAAGCTTAAAGAAACAATAAAGTGTTAATCATTTTTTGTTGGTACATACGAGAAAATTTTGGTCATTGCATCAAAAAATCTTGTGTTAAAAATTTTTACATGGAAAAAATTACATAGTAAGAACTATTATCTATTTACTGTAAGTTTTTCTTAATTTAACATGATGGAAATGAATACTACTTGGATTATTAAATAAACAATTTCAATTAAAAAATCTACTAATCAGATAACAAAATTTATAATTCTTGATATTGATACGAGCTGATAAATTTTATTTTCTTAAGCATTCATAAGCATCATCAATATTATAAAAGTTAGTACCTAATATTAATATTGCTTATAAAAATTCACTCATTAAATTAACAATTTACAATTGTCAATTTTACGATCAACTTTATACTCTCCATAAACATATTTATTATACGAATTATTGAGGGATGGTAACAGTTAACATCATAAAGTATAAAATTTATCGTCTAGGCTAATTAACATTTCATATAAAAAGATCATCATTCTCGATAGCAAACGTTGCCATTCTCAATAGTAAATATTAAAAGTCAAATGAAAATTATTACGATACTTTATTACAGAAACTTCTATTAAATGACTATTTATCTAATTAAAAAATTTTAAAACTGATTATTTCAACACTGGAAAACTTTATTACTATTTTAGATGATTAACATAAAAAATTTCACATTGTAGATGATGTAATTCAATTCTCTTCGTGTACTACAATGATGACTATAATTTTTTATTTTAAATTTTCTACTGTTCTTAATTTCAGTATACTTCTGTCATTTTTAAGAAGAAATAATGCAATGATTGAGTAGTTTTAGTTTTTGAACTAGCAAAAGGATTAAATATCCCTGAACAACCATAATAAATAGTGTTTGAAAGGATTAAAAATCAAATCCTATAAAATATTTTTTGATCATTTAGTTCAATCTAGAATCAATAGTCTATTGAATAAGTGTTAAAATAATCGCTTTTTACTTCGGGAAACTTTGTAATAATCTAATGAAAGTCGTTTTAAAACATAAATTTTCATCGATCTCTTCTATTTTGTAAAAAAATTTTGATTAACTACTTATGAACTTATGAAGTAAAAATATAAAGTAAAATGAAGTGAAAAATAAAAATTTTAAATGATTTTCTCCATCAAAAATTATATTAGGTTTTTACTAATTTCCAAAAATAACGAATCTATTTCTCGATTTTTTAAACGAGAATAAATAAAAGCAAATACATTAAACAGACTCACCGGCGATGCAAATATTAGTTGACATTTGAGTCTGATTAATGGATTGTATAACAGCAAGTTTCGTTTCATTTATCGGACTAAAACCAGAGTGGTTAGTTTTAGTAACACACTGGAGGGTTTCGTTCAGCATGTATCCATTGTCACAGCACTTATTTAGTGGTATTGTGGCCGAGTTTGCGAAACCCACGGAACTGCATACAATAAGTAAAATGACTGCTAGAACGATCGAATACATGATGGCTAGCTGTCACCAGAGCCCGCAACTTATGTACAACACAGTACGCATAGCAGAGTACGTGCACCTTTACATTGACAGTTCACTTGTTCTACTGGGAATTCGAGCCGAGTTCTACGAATGAAAGTTAGTTTTGCTCGATTCGTTCGATAGCCCAATGCTAACTACAGTTAAAACTTTAACAGAAAATATCAGTTGCAAATAATGCAGATGCGATGACTGTTTTTGCCAAGTGACGGAACGAGAATACGTCCGCGATGATACTGACCTGAGGTCCTCTGACTCACCGTCGTTTACTACACTACCACGTAATGCTTCTGTGTTTATATTTGTATTCATAATATTAAGAGTTTTTTCGAATAAGCTATCTTTTAGCGTCACTCACATTTTTTCGTGGTACTGCCGTGCTTGTTGTATTGGTCTGAAATTTTTAATATCCATTATAATGGACATACGTTAATCTTTTAATATACTTTGTTTGAAAAGTAAATTTAATGTTTTCAACAGAAAATTGCTTTGTTGATTTTTTAGTTTTGGGTCAACAAAAAGCGCACAAGATTCACAGTAGCATTTTAATTTGTCTGATGTGATTGTCTTGATTTGACAAATAATTTCATATACCAATAAAAAAAAAGTTTACTCGATCCAAGAGAAAAAAAATTTTAATTATGAAAATTACTTTGAAGAATTTTAACTAAAATCAAGAAAAATTAAGTTGATTCAAAATGAAAAATTTATTAAAATGATTCTTTTGGGTAACTATTATTGTTTTCATGAGATTTAATTTTTTAATTAGATCAATAGATGAGGTTGTATAAGATAAATTTTTATTTGGTAAATTTATTTTTACATTTTGAAATTGTAAATGTAGACTTCGGTAATCAAACCTCAAAAATAATAAAATTGAAACATTCTTCATCTAAAAGAAGTTTTTAAAAGTTCATGGAAAGTGAAAAGTCAAAAAATTAAATTGATCAAATTTCAATTTTCGAGTCATTTACATCAGAAACCTTATTCTCTTTTAAAAATAAATAAATTATTCGGTATTATTCATTTATAAAATAAAATAAGAAAGGAATACGGCAGAGGCAAATGAATTATTCATGTGTCATCTCATTAGCGTCGTGAGTAGTATCAATATATTATTATTCGATATTAATAATAAACTAGGTCCGACAAAATCCAAAAAACGGTAATCAATGACAAAAATCAAGGATAGATAGGCGTAAATAAATAAATGAATATTAAAAAATAAATTAAAAATAATAAAGTTATGACTTATGACTAATCAACAACTTACCATTAATTGACATGTAATTATTTCAATGCAACACAATGTCAACTGACGCAATAGCATTTCTTGAAACAAAGTTACGATTTAAAAATCCCGAGTAATTTCTATTTATTCAATTTTTCAGAAAGAATATAAATTTCTACATATATTTTGATAACTCACTGACGTATTCAAATAAATCTCGTTATTTAATTAATTATATAATTTATTAACAAACACCGGCGTGAGATGAATGCTTAATTCCCATGTCAATTAAGCTGCCACCAATAAATTTATTTTTTCGCTTTATTTTGATATACAAATCGCTCGCGTAATCAATATTATCAATACTGCATACTGTGTACTGGTTGATGGGAATTTGCAGCGACTCATTTAAAGAAATTACCAAGAATTATCCTTCAAGTTGTATTATTACACAATGAAAAATAATAATTTATAATATCTTAAAAAGGCGTAACATGAATTATGTTAAGATCCAATGTTAATTTTTTCAATAAATTATTATTTATCATTATCATAATTACTATAATTATTATCGTTTAATTAAAAATTGTAAATTCTTCATCAATATTTTAAACAATTGATTCTTATTTTTTTTTCTAATAAAAAAAATATATTTAAAAAATTATATATTAGTGTTCAATAAAAGACGCGAATACGACCTTCCGTTAACTTGCCGAAAGTTCTTACTCATATTTTTTAATCCTCAAAAAATATTACTTTAATTTTCTGAGTTCATTTATAATTTTTGTAATATATTAACCATCGATGTCTTTTATTTTTTAATTTAAACTGTTGATGAGTCAAAAATTAATCAATTTAAATTGAATCAAATATCGGTAAATAATTATGGTAAAAAGTTTAACTAACAATAACAATATCAATAATAATAAAAAATATTAAATGAAATAATAAAAAATTATTATAAAATTTAGACGGCATTTTTTTCGTGATTATTTTTAAAAATTGCTATTTTTAAAATTTTCAAAATTTAAACACACTATTACCTTCATATATATTTTGCTAGCAAGCATAGTTACCGACTGACTAGGATATATCATAGTCAAACCCTAACCTTTATATTCCATTGTTGTTTGATTGGCACGTGGTACTTTTTTTTTTTAATATCTGTCAATTCATTTAAAATTCTATTCATCCTATAATCATTGAATTAGTTCGAAATTTTAGAGTAATTTAACTGTTGTCACTTAAGCTGAAATTGCATTAACATCAGTGAATAATTATTAAAAATTTTGTCTAAACATCGAAGAAGAGGTAATATAATGAAATTCATCCAACAATTTCTATCATGAAATGTAATAATTATTACCTATGAAGTAATTAAAAAATGATCTATGACTAACTAACAATTATCTTAAAAAAATAAAGAATCCCACATATCAAGTGTTAATAGCAAATACAATCAACAATTATCAATATAACAAAAATACCATCGTAAAGAAGAATTTTCCTCAACATGACATCATGCATGACGGACGGATAACCAATAATGATCCGCTCGAAGTCGGAAGAAAGCATTGGTGCGGTTACTCCTATCGGGAAAAGACATCCTATTAAGCCGGGTACGACATACTATGCCGCGATCGGTGAGTCAAGTCATGCAAGTCAATCAGTTCAGTATCGGTGAGTGCATCAATCAGCATGCATCCACGACCAGTCAGTTCCTTGATACCACCAGTACAAATAATATTCCTTCTGCTATTTACAACACCTGGTTCCACCACTCGTCCCGTATACCTGTTCGAAATCCCGCGGAAGTGTTGCTCCTCAACCAGTTACTTCAATGAACACCTGGAATGTATCGCTCGAGTCAACGGAACCTGGACCCCCAAAGTGTTCCTGAAAAAATTTTCCTGGACCTACTCTTCATCGCCATCACCACTTCCATCACCAAAGATCGTAAGCTCCAAGTGTCACTTCAACATCAGCGAATCCCTATTCCTTAACGATAACTCCAAAGCTTCGAATTATTCACAAATGAAGCTCGAAATGGGCAATAATTTTTGCGTAGAGGAAACCATGAATGGAACCACAGTCCTAGCCAGATGCTTGTTCAGGAAGATCCACGAACAGATCCACACCCTAGGTGCAGTGATTTTCTGGGGAGCGCAGACCTACATGTCAACAAATATCGCCCACGTAATTTTGTGCACCATCGTAGTGATCATCTATTTATTTGTTCCGCGACTTCAACGCGGTGTTTACAATCGATGCGTTGTCAGGCATAACATCTGTTTAATGATGGCTGGAGTAGTTCTGCAGATTCTTGGTTTCTGCGAGCTCGGGAACTGCCAGTTCAACGACTATTTGATGATCCTGTCATGGTTGGTGCTTCAGTACTTCACAATCGCGACCGCGCTGTGGTTGAACGTTGTCTGCTATGACATGACCCTGGCGATCACCCAATTTCGATGGATGACAGGAGCAGGTCAGCTAGACAATGTTGACGAAAACCGCAAGATCTTCGTCTACGGACTCTTCTCCTGGGGAGGGTCTTTGGTACCTGTAATATTAGCCGGACTTTGTGATTACATTCCTGCGGTTCCAAAGAACTTTATTTTGAAGCCAAATTACTTGAACTTTCGCGATGGACCCAGCCCAATTGTGAATTTGTACTTTTTCCTGGTACCTGCATTTACTTTGTTGCTGAACAATGTTCTCTTTGTGTACACCACAATCAAGATTATCAAGATTCAGCGCAGCACGGAGATTGTAACTGCGAATCAAACGAATTTGTTGAAGAAAAAGTACTTTTTGTTCTTGAGGTTGTATTTGCTGATGGGCGCGCCGTGGTTTTTTGGAATGGTGCTTGCATGTTTGAACAAACTGGTTCTTTTGAAGACCTGTAGACTGATTCAACCCTCGCTTTGGTTGCTAATTCTCGCGACCCACAAAAGTGTTATTTTAAAAGTTAAGTCGCTGTCTGCGAATTTTAAACGAAGAAAATGTAGCGTTACTACTATCAGTGCTTAAATTTGGGAATAAATATAGTTTGGCTGTAATTGAAAATTTTGGGCTAGTTTTGAGTGATAAATTTGTATATAGTAAATCTTGAAGAGTGTATTTTACAGAACTTTGAGCATTTTTTCATTTATACTCGGTTATTTATGATTGATTTTTCGGAATTCGTGAATTTTTTTATCTATTATTTTTTTTTTTTTAGTCTAAAAAGATTTTTGAAATTCAAATTTCTTAAAAGTATAATGAAAAAATTCGTCAAGTTTTTTGTTGCAATTTTTTTATAATTAATGTATTAAAAATCTTTTCATACCAAAAACTTAATTTTTGTATAAATAGTGACTTTTTATTCTGCGTCTGTAATTTTCACAAGTGATAAGCATTTAAGTAACAAAGCAAATATTTTTTAGGATATAAAAATACAAAGACTGAATATTTGATAATAATTTTTTAGTTATAGGCACTAATTATCACTTGAGTATTTTCTATAAATTAAGTATTCAAACACATTAATATATACATGTTTGTATAAGTACGGGATATCCAGTTTTATTTATAAAGTCTTGGCAAGTGATAGATACTAAGAGACTGTGGTTTGGATTTCCGTTATGCAATTCGCATTCTAAGGAATCCCTGTCGAGGAAACTTGTTTTGCAAAAAAACATTTATATACACATACATAATTATTATACACGCAATATCGTTCTTTTTTAATTGACTCATACGA